GGACTTGATGATCTTAAAGGGCTTCTCCAATTGAGGCAACTCTGGGATTCTGCAAAATAGAGACAAAAACCATCCTAGCAGATTAGCAAAGAGAAGAACACAGCTTATTTCTTCATTTTGTGCCCTGGGAGTTACACTTGTAAGTTAGGCTTCATGGATTTTTGCTTTCTGGTGCTAAAGGGCAAGTCTTGCTCTCCCTCTTAAAAAAGGCTACACAGCCAGAGTTTATATCTTAATTACAGGGACAAAATACAGATTTAAGACTTCACTGCCACATGCAAGTTGAACCAATGCTGAGAGGGCTGGATGACTAGAGCTCTAAAACCCAGTGAAGGATGACCGGTAACGCTGCCATGGCTGTAAACGTCAGCAGAGCGTGGCAGGGAGCAGACAGCCGGCAGGCTCCCACAAGGGCTGGGCTGGAGCCAAGGCAGGCAGAGATTGCTTCTCCAGTAATGCTGGGGTATTATGTTATAGCAGCTGAAGAAAAATGAATCATTACCAACTTGAGAACAGAAAACATCGCTTTTTGTCTCTCCTCCCATACTTGAGAAAGGGATTACAGTGTTGAGTACTTGTTCAAAAGCTGCCTGGCGTGGAGTAACAGTAAATTCAGATTTCTATCAGTTCTTCTTGAAAAAAGACCTGAACCTTTTCTTCAGACTTTCTTTCAACCAACCAGAAAGTTATCTGACTTGAGTTCTGGCTTGGAGCTTCACATCCAATGAAGATGTCCCTGCTCATTGCAGGGGGGTTCAACTAGATGAGCTCTGGAAGTCCCTTCCAATCCAAACCAGTCTACAATTCTGTGATCCCCAAAATTTTATCTGGAAAATGGATCCAAAAGAGAAGGCTGGATGCAAGCACTGGCTGCTTCATAATCCTCACCTCTCTTTTTCTCCCCAATTACTTTCCAAGATGTTTATCATACGAATGAGCACAACATCTGTGGGATCCCTCTGGGAGGCTGAAGACAATTTTTTAACAGAAAACTAATTTAGGACACTTGATAACTTATATTTACCTTTATTTGCAATGAGGCCAGTTACCTAAGCCTAAAAATTGAATATAAAACTGCTCTATTGAGCAAAGATAGAATTTGCCTTCCTAATTCAATGCTCGATCCACAGAAATGATTACCAGTATTAATAAATGTACACAATTAAAATGTTCTTGCTCTTCTAATGGGAAAAAATAATACTCTCTTTAAGGTCAACTGACACTACATTGTTTCTAATAGATTGCTTTTGTTAATGAGCCCACAAATGAGCCTTCAAAGCTTTTCCCCAGAAACACTTCTTCCCCAGTTTTACACAATCCTCTACGATTTCTGCAGAGGACCTGTGGTATTTGCAGCACTTGCACAGGACTCTACGCCTGCTGGATCCATCAGGCAGCCTTGACATCATGCTCCAGCACAGTATTTCAGCAGAGTTTAAACAAAGGCCATGAAAAACCTGCCAAAAGCCTCACGTAATCCACACACTATGTCTAGTCTTGAAAAAAAAAAAAAAAATTTAATCAGGGTCTTACTGTAAATGAAACAATGATCTGCAGAGTCTGGCCAAAATCCTGTATTTCAGTTTGCTTTTTCAACAAATACTGGTCTGAATGTTTTAATAAAGCAAAAACATATTGGATGGGGTTGTTGGTATCTAAGAAAAATCAAATCCATCGTAGATCATATTCTCCTCCTAGATTCCTTCAAAAAATCTGCATATTAGCTTCATTTCATAGGGACACAAATCTCCTTATACAGAGGAAGGACAGTTGTCCAGGGTTGTAGCATTAACTGCTAAAGCAGGGAAATTGTCTCAGTTGTCCTTAGAAGCTCAGAGGCTCTAACGTAAACCAGCTAAGCTCATGATAATTTGGGCCAGACTTTCCTTTGGAGGGGGGAAAGCACCTTAGCTTTGCCTAAATTTTTCATTTCAGCCAGGCTGTTTGGTCCTCTCTTCCCCATTAAGGTCACCACCCCATCGATGCTGTGCAGGAGGACCTCTGCATGCCCTCTTCTTGGCTGGTCAAACAAATCCAGTGAGTCATTTAAGGAGAAAAAAAAAACAAAAAACAAAGCAAAACACTCCTCAAGTCTTTGCCTGCAAATATCAGATGACAGCAGAGCTGGTTTCTTCCATCATTTTGCTATGCTCAAGACCATCCTGCCAAGCACCCAGTAGTGACTGTATGAAAAGAAGTTAAACTATCTGTCAACTAATATTATTTTTATTCCAAGATGATTTTTCAGTCTTAACAAATAATGCCAAGATCTAGAGAGAGGATTAATAACATTTTTCAAGCCAATTCATATTTTCAGCAACAATGGCGTGAAAAGCAAAACTATATACTCTTCAGTGACCACAAAAAAAAAAGCCAAAAATAATTATGCAAATGAAACAAAATACAAAGTGTCAAACGTTTCAATCAATATTTTTGGTCTCTGGCTGAGAAGAATTCAGTACACTTCATTTGGAGAGTTGTAAGTAGTTAACTAATGAATAAAGTGCAACAGATGCTCTTTGTAATGATGTTTCATCTGTTTAAACCCTTTAGTCCTCCCTTTTGGTCAAATCCAAATAAGCATTACAAGTTCTTTTAAGGTTTGCAAAGAAACAGAAACCAAGCGTTTCAGAATGAGAATCAAGCCTCCTCTGAAAATGAGATTATTGTCTTTATTTCTGTTAATTGGGGTGTGGGTCTACTGGAAAGTTTATACTTTTGGAGTTATATATATACTGGAGGCAACCAACATCTCCAATTCCATGGATAAATTACCATTACATAAATGCAACTTAAAGGACGAGCACTTACCCAAACCCAGCAATGGATTTCACACAATCCTGCCTGAGATATGCATTGTCCTGATCTAATTAACAAGCATTTTATCCTGTACACAGTCATTTAGCTTGCAAAAGAATTACCAAGATGAACAGAAATCTATCACTTTCCTCAGCTTCACCAGATTCTTGTACTTTTTCAAAAAGGTAATGTTAAATTTATTTTTCTAAATTTTTTTAACATATTGTTGACGCTATCTGCAAGTGCGCATGGTATCCACGCTCTGTGCTGTACCAGACCACGGCACTAAGCCACTGGTGGATCTATATGGCTCAATCAGTGCATCATAGTACAAGTACGCGTGCAAAAAATAACCCAATACCTTACAGCACACAGAAGTTACAGAAGAGTTTGCAGAAGAAAGTCAGGGCAAAGACCCAAAGCCTGGAACTTTTTCAGATCTCTAAATCACTCTCTTATTCAAAACTTTTTTTTTTTTTTTAAATAATTATTTCTTAAATGACTTGGCACTCTCGCTATGGCCATTTTTAACAGGGTAAGATCAACAACATTCTCCTCCAAACTCATATGTTCCTTCTGTTTATTTCTGCAGTCTCCAAGGCCAGGATGCAAAGAGCATCCAGCTGCTTATACCCATATTTTACAGAAGCTTTCCCCCCCCTAAATTCAAAGCATTAATGAAGTGCTATGAAAATCTGTGAGAGCCAACTCCTGAGTGCTTTAGGTAGTGAGATAGCACAACCATTATTTAAGGGAAGGAATGGACAGAGCATCATGTGTACGCAAAATGCCAAGTTATCTTCTGATGCTATCACAAAATTAACAAAAAATAACCTTCCACACCATCCAGCGAGCACAATGGCATACAAATAATAGTTGTTTTAGCCAACTACAAGTATAACATTTCAGAATCCTTTGGAGTAGAGCATTTCAAAAAAAGTGAGACTGCAAGGAAAGCTTCTGGCCACCTATATCCATGTCAGGAGGTGTTGAGTTCAGCTCTTGAATGCATAAGGCAAGCGCAGGACAAGTTGGCTCATTGAAATGAAGATTTTTCTCATGAGCAAGTAATGCCACAGCTTCATAACCCACTTGGGCTAATGGAGTAGCTCTCCTAAGAACTTAGTGCTTTTGCAGTGATTTAAAGAATCGGATATGGCTCAGAGCCATCCATGTTGAGAACTACAAACCCTTTCCAAATGCAACTGGCAGAGCGGTGACTTGCAGAGGACAAAGTGCTTTTGGTAAATGGTCTGAAACAGCAGATAACATCAACAAATTCACAAAAGAACTAGATAACAGGTCCATAACTAAGTACTAAAGGGATGAGATGCATCCTCCATCATCTCTAATACAATCTTTGTGGATGCTGGCAGGGTAACAGCAGGCAGAGAAACACGATGAGCATCCCAGCATCTCCTACGACCATCACCTGAACCAGAAGAGTGGGCTGATGATCTTACAATTGCTCTTTGTTTCTTGTACAAATATTGGAACAGATTTCAGGAGCATCAGGGAATTTTGGTGAAGGAGCTGATGGTTGGCAATTGAAGAAACTACTGCATCAAATGGCAGGTTTGCTTTCCACCTAGGACTGGTTTGCAATCTTTCAAATTTTAATCACAGAAATAGGATTTTCAGGCAATTGAACCTAAAGCTGAAGTAGGGGAAGCTTTGCCCCGAAGTAGGAGAAAAAAAATCTACATTAAAAACCTCAAAAATCTTTATAACTTAAACAAAAACCTTAAAAAAATCTTTATAACTTGAAAAAAACCCTTAAAAAAATCTTTATAACTTGAAAAAAACCCTTAAAAAAATCTTTGTAACTTTTTACTGGCAAACATGAACAGCCCATATGAACAGTGATACAACAGAATTTACTCTTCAGTGAAACTGGAAATAAATTCTATTATAAAACAGAGGTGGCTCATTAGGTGTGAACATCAGAGGGCAGAAAGTGAAGGCTTACCTCTAGCAGGTCTGACACAATAGGTAGTATTTCAGGGTTACAAATGTCGATGGAGTCATCCCGGTAAGTCTTCTTTTTATAACGGATGTTACCCAGGTGTAGTATCGCCGACAAGAGAGAGAAAATTCTAAAGAAAAAAGAGACAATTCATTTTCAGTCAGTAGTTTTTTTCTTAAAGCCAATCAAGAAGCAAACCACATCCCCAAACATCCAAGTACCATCTTCGTATTTGACTCATTCCTCTCATTTTCAATCCAAAGCAGTTTATGTCCCTAATCTCCAATTGTTTTCTCAAAAATGACATTCAAATGAAGCATCCAATTTGCCTCATGTAAAACATATTTTCACTCAGTCAAGCATTAAATGTGCAATGGTACAGCTTTCTTGAAAATTATTTAACACATCAAATCCATGGTTATAAAAGGGCACCCCATAGTATATAAAAAAAAAATCCTTGAGTAATCTAGACATCCAGATTAAATATCTATCATATAATTGTCTAAATTAAGGGGGAAACCGGACTTAGCCATGCAAGTGATCCTTCTTAGTCCCCTGGCACATGTATTTATCACCTTCTTAGGTCTAGGCCCAGGTAGGAAGCCTATATAAAAAAAGCATAAATGCTTTTATAACATATAAGCATACTGAGACAGAGAAAAGATGTTACACTTCAAGTAAATTTAGCTTGCCTTTTTTTTTTTTTTTTTAATTTGGTCAGTTTTAAATTATATCCTCACCCCCAAAAAAAGTAGTTCTTTGAGACTATGGAGTCATGGCTGACTTCAGCTATAAACTCTGTTTGTCCCTATTTCTAGACTCTCCGGGGAGAAAAAAATGAATAAAACGAAATTTGATTCCTAGTCATACCACCAGCTTGTCTGGGCAACACACCTTCACCTCTCCAAGCCAGGTCTTCCTTATCTCTCAAATAGGGATACTGATTCCTTATCCTGAATTACAGGGATGCAATTATCACAGAATCACAGACTGGTTTGGGTTGGAAGGGACCTTAGAGCTCATCCAGTCCCAACCCCCCTGCCATCAGCAGGGACACCTCCCACTAGACCAGGTTGCTCAAAGCCTCATCCAACCTGGCCACAAACACTTCCAGGGAGGAGCAGACACAGCTTCTCTGGGAAGTCTGAGCCAGTATCTCACCACCCTCACACCAAAGAATTTCTTCCTCACATCTTCTCTCCATCTCCCCTCTGCCAGTTTCAAGCCATCACCCCTTGTCCTGTCACTCCCTGCCCTTCTCCAAAGTCCCTCCCCAGCCTTCCTGGAGCCCCTTCAAGTACTGGAAGGCCGCTAGAAGGTCTCCCTGGAGCCTTCTCTTCTCCACGCTGAACAGCCCCAACTCTCTCAGCCTGTCCTCACAGCAGAGGTGCTCCAGCCCTCGCATCATCCTCGTGGCCTCCTCTGGACTCGCTCCAGTAGGTCTATGTCCTTCTGATGTTGGTGGCCCCAGAACTGGAGGCAGCACTGCAGGTGAGGTCTCAGGAGAGCAGAGCAGAGGGGCAGAATCCCCTCCCTGGACCTGCTGCCCACGCTGCTCTGGATGCAGCCCAGGACACGGTTATTGGCCTCTGGGCTGTGAGCGCACATTGCTGGCACAAGAAATATTGCCGGCTCATAAAAATTTCTCTTCTGTAACTACTTCCACAAAGGTGAAACCTCATGTTTTGCTACAAATGATCACCTACAAACATACAGTAATACTTAAAATATCCTTCCTTTTTATACTCAGCTGAAGGTGGTTACTCATTCACGCTACAGTTGTAGAAGGCCAAGCAGAATAAATTTGCTTGTACAGTAAAGAATACACTATATTTTTGACAAGTAAAATTCACTTGGAGAAATACAAGAACTCATGCACCAAGAAAATTATCACACAGTAAATCAAAAGTGTGAATTTACTGTCACAATCTCCTCTGCTCAGTCCTGAAATTTACTGATTGCTTCACTCCATCAATTAAACTCCCTTACTACACCCTAAACAGGTTTCAGAAAAATCTTGTCACTGAAACTTTATTCTTGAAAGATAAGGAAGCCCGCTGACATGTAACATATTTATGCTAGAAGTAGGTATACTTGGGTTTACCCATGTGTAGAGAAAAAACAGTCTTAATTTCATAATTATTTTTTTCAAGTTAGGGATAAAGGACAAGCTGATGTAAAAGATTCTCAGCTGGGTGAAAATTTCTTGTTGTAACAGAAGGCAGGACAATGTCTCACAGTTAAAGGCTTCTATTTGCTGGCTCAGATACATGTTAAAAAGCGAGAAAAATGGTGCCTAAAAGAACAGGAGCTAATCCACCCAGTTGAAAAAAAAATAAATGTTCTATGTTATAGCATCTTAGATGTCATTTACCTAAGGTGATGAATAGGGTTTCAAGTGCAATTAGTACAAAGCAGTAATTTTCTGATCCCACGTAAACCTCCAGGATTTCAGACAGAAAGGAACCATGTTCAATTAAATTATTGTTTGAACATTTTGACTCGAAAAAGCACAAGATTTCTCATTGTGTTACAGCTACGGATGCTTTTCAGCAATACTTACGACATCAAAATCATACTCACATTGGTCATTTTTTCAATACATACTTTTCTACACCCGTTACTAACCTTAGTAATATATTTGTCAAATTCACTCAAACCTACACAAGACTTTCAAGCCAACAATCAACATGAGAGGAATTATTTTGTGATTTTAGTTGAAGTCAACCTTCATATGAAGCATGTAATTCCTTGCAGTCCATGGAAGGTGGTATTGCAACCCAACTAAGTCTTCCGGTTTTTCAGCCAGCACTTCCAGTGAGTTAGTGAACGAAGGCCAGCTGGAAATAAGTCTACACAACCAGCAATTGCATGCAAAGGATTAAGTAGGATGACTAATAATCAGGATTTCTAACGAAAGCAGGAACTGGATTCATGACATGCAGAGTAAAGCATGACTATTCATGAATAGTTGAAAAATACTTCAAGGTTCCAACTTCCTGCCAACACTCTATTTGCATAAAGAGAATTGTTAACTACAGTGATGGGCAGATTTTGTGATACCTTTAAATTTTGCTTAATCTTTTATTGTATGAATGGTCAAGTGTCATTATTCATAGAATCACGTGATAGTTTGGGTTGGAAGGGACCTTCAAAGATCCTCTAGTCTAAAGCCTTGTCATGGGCTGGGGCATCTTTCAGGTTACTCAAAGCCCCATCCAACCTGATCTTGAATGCTTCCAGTGATGGGGCACCCACAACTTCTCTGGGCAATGTCCTTCCAGTGTCTCACCAATTATTCCTTCTCACCAGCCTGATATGTTATGTAGAGCTCAAGTCAGATGAATTATCTCACTGATTATGGAGGTTATATTAACTAATATAATCTTCAAACTATGGAAAGTAAACTCACTGTCTGCGAGTCTTGGGAAGAAACCCCACCATCTCCATGGCCAGTTGTAACCGCTCAAAGTCATGCTTCAAGTCTTCCCCTTCCACGGAAAAACAGTCCTGTTGGGTTCAAACAGAAAGATTTAGCACTGAAAGAAATTAAATCAGAACAGCTCCAGATGGAAAAGTCCACACTCATAAATATTATTTAGTGACTTCCGTGCCTTTTATTGGTGACTAGAATATTTCCAGTTTGGCACTGGGAAATGAGATATCCAGGAGGCCCCATCAACATTATGGGGAATAACTATGGCTAATTACACTCAACACCCAGCCCAGGGGCAGGGGGATTCACAACACCATAGCAGATACAGCAAGAAACCCATATGCAAGACAATAAAAGCTCCAGTGGCAAGGCAGAATTTTTCTTCTTAAGTATCAGAAAGATAAAAGTTTGATTTTTTTTTTTAGCATTCTTCTTAAAGTTTTATTTTTTGTTTTTTCTTTTTCCTTTTTTTCTTTTTAATCAAGCTGTTTAGGAGCATCTGCTTCTACAAGGACTGTATGGAAAAGCTAAGCACAGTGCGAATTTCAATACAAGAATTATTTATGGTATACACTAGCATTTTTCTCTGTACTGCATTTTTATCTATCATGGTGAGATGGTCTTTCAAAGGACACTACATCTCCACCACAAATACCTTGGTTTGAATAGCCTGGACATCAAAGAGGACTACATCGGTATATCTTTTCCAAAATAATATCTTCAGTTAATTTTTCCTGGAGATACATCCTCATTTCCCAGGATTAACCTCTGACGCAAGACGTGAGTCACTTCATTCTAACAGTATGGCAAGAGTTGATCAGTGTGGGATAATTAGCATACAAAAATGATGTGAATTAACAATATGAAATTATGTTACACATTTAGAGGCAATTTATTCTGCATTAAATTAGGTCCATTAGGATTTCCTAGAACTATAGAGGAAGAATTGAGTTTTAAAATAGAATTCACATAATTTCACGTAAAATACCAGTGAATAAATCCTGTACAGGAAAGGGAAAGCTTTAAATATATTTTTCACTAACTTTATTCTAATCACCAAGAAGTTTTCTAAGAATGTGAGCATTGTGGGAATTTTAAATCCACCATGTTTTCTATTTCTTGGATGCTAATGTGTCTGAACAGTTTAGTTTTTCAGATAATCCCCAATCTGATACCAATAATTGATACTTTCAGGGAAATACGATGACGTTCTAGAGCCAACTAATATTGTCCTCCACCAAAAGTTAGGGAATACAGTTAAATTAATGTTCCTTGAATGAGTATACAAACCATGAATGCCAAGTTTCTTTTGCTTTGGCTCAGCTTGTCCCCACTGCCATGGATTACTGATTATTCTCTCGCTTCATAGCCCATATTTAATACTTTTTCCCATTGCTGCCTATAAAAATTCCAAATCTCTGAATTAAACTCAGTTTATTGTGCTTCACACAATACAGTGTTATCTTAAACCTCAGAATATTTTACTAACACTTAAATAGAGACTTTTCACAAGTTAATCCAGGTATGTTAATTAAAAATTACAGCTGCAGTTGCAGTGACAATTAATTAAGCAGTTGTGTCCACACAGTTTCTTTTGGTTATTTGTCTGTAAATCATATTTACCACATGAGCAATGATGCACAAATTAATTCTGAAAGTCTGCGCTAAACAGAGTTACGTGAATACTATCGTGAACATCATAGAACAGGTACCAAGTAGTCAGAGGATGATGACTGTTACTTGAGAAGACACTCATGCTCACTTAGAGTACATAGAATAAATTATAAATACAGAATAAATACAGGATATACAGAATAAAGTTATTTTATATCATCAGCTTCATGTCTCAAAGCACCCATCTCCATTTAAAGCCTCAGAACTGTATCAGTGGTAGGTTCTTCATCCCACTCTGCAGCATCCTTGCAGCGATAGCTACTGATTACAGGGAGAAATTCTTATTGAAGATATTTATTTCAACATAGGAGACTAAAAAAGAGCAGTTCAACTGGAAAAGAAAATCTAAAATTTTTTATGACTGGTCCTCAGGGACAACAATTTATTGCATAGACAAAGTGAATTTAGAGATGTCAAACAGTCTATTGGAAAGTACTCATCTTAACAGACTTGTAAGTTCTCTGTACACCTTATCTAAAAGAACGCAACAAAGACAACTATACTAAACATCAGAAAGATCATCAGGGATCAGCAATGGAATTATTTACAACATAAAGTATCAGGATAAGAAGTTGTCCTTCTTAACTCAAACCTTGGCCAACGGGCTTCCTTGGCCACTACACATACGCTGAGGAGAACTTGGAGAAATTTTCACGCTCACTATGGTGGGACCTGGAGCATGCAGGATGATAATATATCCACAAATTCTGCAAATAAGTCTTTTTAAAAACTTTCTTAAAAGATACCAAGTGTGATTTTTAGTGGTGCTCCACATTCCAGGAGACAATTTCATTTTATGGCATCATTCATCCAAAATTAAGTCACGAGTCAATAGCGAAATACTATAGACAACTCAGAAGTAGCACAATCTATGCCAAAGGCAATTTAATTAACGATTTACATAACAATTGCCAAACTCATTAATCCACATGGCAAGGCCTTTTGCAAATTATCTACTTAGAAGCAAATACTCTCTGTAGTGTTTCAGCTCTGTACTGCTTCCTAATGGATGATAATTATTAAAAAAAAAAAAAAAAGTTTCCTTGCTATTAGGGCAGGCAAGCATTACAAAGTCCATGCCCACAGACCAAGTTCATCATTAATATTCTGTCCGGTCAATTAGTTTCCAAGCAAAAGTGGGTCCCCTGCTTACTATTGTCATGTTGAAGCAATGCATAGATTTCCATGGAAAGTTTAAAGAAGATCTAATAAATAGAGTTTCTTTATAAAATGGACATCTGCAGTGGGCTGAATCCATGGGTAAGGGGAGAGGTCCGGGGTATGTTTAAAAGTGAATCATCAGCTGAAGTAAAGATGTGATTTACCATCAACATCACAGAAAACAATCCCGAGCAAAAAAAATACCAGATAAATAGTCAAATTTAAATGGCATGCCGTTTTGCTGGAACACGGTAGGTCCCGAGCTCCTAAGCTAGCAGGGCAGTATTGGCCCCTCCAGGAGAAAGTGGCAAATTTGGAGTTTGTTTTAATTTTAATTCCTCCAGTAAATTTTCCTAACCCATTGCTTAAGCAATTTCCTTAAGCAATTAAGATCCTTGCAACATAGTACAGTGTATTAAGGTATATCAAAAAGCATCAGTTCTTCACTCCCTGCTCTTGTAGGACCTCTAAGGACACTCAGGTATGAAGGATGCTCATGTACTAAGGACGCTAACACAATATTCAACATTTTTAAAACTTGGGAGGGTTAGACTCCCCTTCCCTCCTCCCCTCCTAAGGATTTTGCAGTTGAAATCTGGCTGTTAAGATGCTTATTTAGCCCAAGTGAAACCCAACTCTTTCACAGACTACCTCTTACTCTTCCAGACGCATCAGTTAGAGTTCGATAACCATTAAACACACAGCAAAATTAGCAGGAACAACATGCAGCTGATCTGAAACATGCTTCCCCGTGCAAGACAAAACCAACAGAGACCATCATGGGACACACAGACATCCAAAGCATGTCACCAACTGAAGCCACTGCTTCCAACTCCATACCAGAAGAGGAGCTGGGGAAGGAGGAGAAGCTTCATCATTCCCTTTTTTGGGTCACTCCATTTGGAAAGGATGATCATGTCAGTTGAACTATTTTAGGAGAAGGAATTGGTTTTGTGTTCTGAATAATAGCAGGATTTGATTTCCTTGCAGATGATTGCAGTGATGGTTTTGGGTTTGTCTTTTTTTTTTTTCCCCTAGAAGCTGGACAGCAGATACACTGCTACAACCATCACAAACTGATGCATCTCTTAGGGCTTCAAGAGGTTGTTTTATTGGGAAACAATTTCAATTTTCACATTGTTGCCAAATCACAGTTTCCACAAATCATGTTTTATATCAAGAAGGAACGACAACAACAAAAAAACTTAGTTTGATAAAACTAGATGACCATATCCAAGTGTTGAAGAAGCTTTCCAGATGGAAGGAACCAAAAAAGGGCAAGGGAAAAAAAATATGTATGATCACAAGCTATTACACAAGCAATACCACTGCAAGGCAGAGGAAGGGAATAAACTTAATTTGACTTTGCTTTCTGCTCAGGTCTTGGTGCACCTAACAAATTTAAGTGAGCAGCAGCCGTGCACCAGCAACACAGAAGACGCGGGTAACTTGTACTGACCGGCTCAGAGTCATAGCAATAATCATCCCAGCTCTCTCTGAGGGGTTTCTTTGTCATCTGAAAGCAAGGCAGAGCGGGTTAAGTAGTGTTCAAACCAAAAATAACTCCCACTATCTGCTCTTTAACCAAGGTAGCAATATTGACTTTACAAATAAAAATAAATGTTGTTATTCTGCATAGTCATTCCTTGGTTTTCTTTTTTTAAAGGTAAGATTTATAATGCTTTTGCATTTATGGTGCTCTGATTCCTGCTTACAGCGTTTTCTGACATCTCATGCAATAAGCTTAATGGATTTTAAGATCTTTGCTTTTTCTTCATGGTTGGAGAAACCTTTGCTTTACCTAGAGCTGAAGAGCTACTGAGAGAAAATCACGGGCAGGTTTTTTGTTTCTGCTCTCAACCTCTGCTCTAGACACATATAAGTGCTGCAAAAGCGTGATTCTCCGACTGATTAGAAAGTGGCACTCAAAAGCTTTTTAGGAATTTGTCTCTTTTTCCAATCGGAGATGCAGTTGAGAGAAGTCAAAGCACATGTCAGTGCCTAGTCCCAAGAGGGAAATACATGGCATCAGAGCTCTTGATTAAGGATCTAATCTTGCAAATCACTAATTTCAAAATGGGTAAATGTGAATAACCAGCACAGAAAATATTCAGCAAGTTGCAAGGTATGCAATGGTAGGTATACCTGCCATTGGTATGAGATATGGAGAAGTCATTCAAACTTAAGTAAGTTTGCTTTAAAAAAAAATATTTTTTTTTCAAACCTGCTCCCTGCATTTACAGATCAACAAAATAACAGCCCATTGTGGTGAAATATCTGAACAGATTATTTCTCATCTGCAATGCAAAATGCACGTTTGTTTTGTACGACACAACGTGAGCTGAGGAGCCTGGGTGAATGAAAATGCTTGACTCAAGGACTGAGTCAGTCCTTGACTTAAGGGGCTTAGTCCAATATTTTATAGCTTTTCAATTTTAATATTTAATTTTTATTTAAACACATCTATTTCTGAGCTTGTTCTTATTTGTTTTAAAAAAGCAGGGATTTCTCTAGAAGACATTTAAGAAGCTACAGTAAATGCTCAAGGGTCATTTTATAATTTTCGCTTTTTATGTTTCCAAAGTTTCTTTTCCCATTCCTCCACTATCTCTCTTCACTTTTTTCTCCTTATTTTCCTTTTTTCTCTTTGCTTACAGACCACAGGAAAGCTGTTACTCACAATTGTCTGTGTCAAATGGTCTCTCTAACACTAACCCTAATTATTAAAAATTTTAAAATTATTATAATAAAAACCCTAAAAACTCAAACTGTCACTATTCTTCATACATTGTATTTAGGCAAGTTTGGAGTCTGCTTCCCCCATCCACTGGATGTACCTCAGCATCCTTCTTCAGCCTACTTGCCCACAGCATCCTAATTTAGATTAAAATAAATGTTTCAACCAAAATTATCGCATTCCTAGTTCTACACACTACATGTCATTGGATTTATAATTTTATATTAAATATTAATATCCTCAAACTGCTATTATAAAAAAAAGGACTATAATTAAAACAATGTTTTCAACTGATATAAAACTACTGGATTGCCCAACAAAACCTGTGAATCCGACAAAACATTCGATGCAAATGATCTTGGCAATTTCCTGCTGCAAAACCACAGCACAGATGGTCGTGAAGATCATGCCACCTTCTCCAACCAACGACTGAGGCACAAAGACGGTGAGCAAAACACCCTCAGCTCTTAATTCCGCACTCATTTGTATGAATTTCCCGATCCCGTTAAAAGTGGGTGGGAGTTGTTAGTATTACAATAGATTTTGGCTTTGTTAGCTTGCTTTAAAAAGATCTTTAAAAAGCCCATGGTAATTGAGATGTATTTTGGAATTAAATTATATTTCTGGAAAGACTAAAGGCTATTTGGGTTGCACTGCGCCTACATGTTTCTCTCCAACACGTGGGTTAAATCTCTTTTTATTGCTAAACATGTTTCAGCTCCAAGAAATCTACAATTAGTGAAAATCAACGTAGAACCTAACTATTCTTCTTCATATTCCTATTCCTTTATTTTTCTTTTTTTTTTCCTTTTTTTCCTAGCAAAAAAGTGGTGAAGTCTCTATTCACAAGCACTGGTGGACAACTACATCTTAAATACCTGAAGTCAATTAGATTTTCTAAATTATGAGTTTAGTTGCCCACTGGTAGTATCTCACTCATTTTTAATTCACACATTTTCAATGGTTGCTGTGGTTTTATTTATATTAAACTTAGGATATTGTTAAATTCAAGGGATCATGCTAACAGCCAGCCATGAAGCTACAGAGTTAGGACTGTCTCATGCAAGATGTTATATCCTGAAGAGCAACTAGTATCACACCTTTTCCCCTTTTCTCTTACTCAGCAGACAGATGTTAATGAGTAAATGACATTCACACAGATAACAGGTAATTATTACTGTTTCTCCCTTCAACAGTTAAAACCACAATTATTTAAGGTATCCCAGGTAGGGGACAAAAATGGAAAATATGGAATTTTTTTTTTTTTTTTTCATATTATAAAGTGTTCAGGTTAATTTCCAATGATGGAAGGCTGCCTATAGAGCATTAACAAAATCCATTTTTACTACTCCACATATTTTCCTTATTAGCATTAAATATCAGCAATAGACAAGGCAAGATGGTGTATATGGTATTCCTGTACGGTATTCCCACCTGGTTGAGGTAATGATATTCCTCAGGCTGCTTCAGATGAAACGCTGATCTCTCTTCCTCACTCGCTCCTGCCAGGAGGTAATAAAATACATGGTAGTTCCTGGTGACAAATGAAAAAACAAAAAAAAGTTAGACTTCAAACCAGACAGCAGCTTTAAGCAGTGAAGCGCACGTAAACCTCGTAACCTGATTTTCCAGCTTCCAAACTCAGACCTGAAGAGTGTGTAGAAATGGCTTGTACCTACTTCGCAGTGATGTAAAAGATTAAATTCAACCATGGAGAATGAAGTCTCTCTTTTCCATCCAAGGACACCCACTGCCCTAGAATATACTTAAAGAATTCCTAGCTGACATCATCACATTTTCCTCCAGAAACATGTGCAATGCCTACATATTTATTAGAATCAAAATAACATATTTTCTTGCAATGTAGAAATTACCATTACTTTTCATACTTTATTACCATTAAAAAAGTAACAATTTTGCAGATGCAGCTCTGTAAGACAGAAAAAAAAAATCTTTAAGTTTTACAGCTACTCAAATATTCAAAACACTTGAATATTACTAATACTAAAAACACTCCGAGTGACACTCATCTGTTTTGCTTCAAGACATGGATTAACACTAAGAGCATAGCCAGTATTTTTAAAATTAAAACTTTGTTTTTATGTTGGATGCTTTCCAAGAGGAGCCAAGTTTAATCACCTTGCACCACCCAAGAGTACATTTGTCAAAGCTGTATATGGTATTTAACTTCAGGATCGGCCCATGAGTATTTGAGAAAACTTCTCACACAACATCTATCTCAAAAGGGAAACACAGAAGTGCCAAGAACTGAAAGACAACTAGAAGCAGCAAATTAATTTAAAATCAGAATAGTTACTGAGAGGGGAGTATGTAACAAATAATATGTTGCAATTAGGAAAGAAAAATTTGCTTAAATTTGTTGTCTATATAATTTTAGCTTTTTTTAGATGGCTTCAGTGTGTTTAGAACTGTAAAATAGAACTAAAATAGCATCTTTCCCCTCCCCTAAATGAGATACTAAATAGCTTACAAGTTGCACAAGAAAACAAATGGTATGCAATCAGCTATATGACAAAAATCATAAAGAGATTGGAAAATATAAGTCAACGACTGTCAATAAAATAATGGAGGTTTTTTTTTTTCCTTAGGCAGTACATTCCTCCCTAAACAGCAAAATATAAAATGCATCATTTACCTTCAAAGGACAGGGTTAGGAGCATGAAAATCCTGATCCCCCCGTGCCAGCTCCAACAAGATTTTAAGCTATCCGTGCCACGTTATTGGCACGTATAGAAGTCAAAACCAACCCTGTAAGTAAAATATGGGCACCTACCGTTCATTGTGCTCCTGATAGACGAGTCTTGATTTTTCCAGGAGGTATTTTTCAACGTAAGCTCTGGGAGGAAAAAATAAAAGCTTTATTCATTGACCCAATATTCAACTTAAATGAACACAGCTTTACCGGGACTTTTCAGTCTTAGTACGCACAAAAAAAAGTCTCAGTCTTGTTTCACTTATTTATATAAATTTCTTCCTAGGCAGAACAAGTCCAATATTATGTTTGGCTTTTGAGGTTTTTTTGGTTTGATACAAAGCCAACACTAACTTGGATATGAAAAACATGATCTCAGACACGTTAGCCTATGGGCAGGGAGCACAGGGGGAAATTTTGACAGCAACAAAGAATCTCCGATACCCATTTAATCCAAAGCCAGCAAAGTAAAATTGCTTGCAGACAAAGATTTGTGCACACAAGAAATAGATCTGGGTGCAAAAGTTTGCAAGATCAGATTTAGCTGCAGAATTGGTCCCCAAATCGCCATTCCCCCTTCCAGAAAAGCCACTTCTCAACAGAAGTTCAGTTTATTAACTTGTGGTTACAGTCGAAAAATAAACAATTGCAAAAGCTCCTTATTGGAGTTTACATTTTATGCTAAGCACCTCCATAATAAACGTTTTATTTACATTGTAAATACTTTTTTCAAGCTTGTCAAGCTAAAACAAGCTTTGACAGGTTTTTTCTCTTCCAAACAATACTAACCAGTAATGATAGGGATTTAAAAACTAGAGTTAAAACTGGCAATTTTGATGAAGTAGCCATGCTTTTCCAGCTACAGAGTCACAGTGATGTGGCACCAATACTTGCAGCCACGTATGAATCAGGAAACCCAAGGAACCTTGGGCATGGTAGGACAAGGAGGTGCCTCTACGCTCGCTTCTCCACCGTAGTCCCCAGATTGGAGGACAGATTCACTTACTACTTGCATCTCAGTAATTCTCCCCTTCTTTTACAAAAAAAAAAAAAAAAATTAAAAAAAAAAAAATCACAGAATCATAGAATGGTTGGGATTGGAAGGGACCTTTAAAAGTCATCTAGTCCAACCCTCCTGCAGTGAGCAGGGACATCTTCAACCAGATCAGATTGCTCAGAGCCCCATCCAACTTGACAAATGTTTCCAGGGATGGGGTTTCTACCTCCTTTCTGGGCAACCTGGGCCAGTGTTTCACCATCCTCATTGTAAAAATAAAATAAAATTAATTATTTATATGTGCTGCAGAGATTTGGTGACAATTCTTATGGCAGCTCTTAGGAGAAGTTACCAGAAATGGCATATCCAACCCTCAATGGGATGATCTTGCTGGATAGGAGCAGTAAAGAGAGACAGAGAACAAGGCAATCTTATTCATCTGTATGATGTGCAGATTTATTCTTATTAAAAAGGTTTATTCTTGTTTATTCCCTGTAAGGACGCTGAAAATCATCTATGGATATTCCTTGCTGATATGGGGGGTATTTTAATATCCCCTTTCTAACCTGAAATCAATTTTTCCTTTCTAAGTAACACCATAAATTCACTGCAAGCTTGGTGAATAAATGAGGAAAAAAGGTACCAGAGTGTCCCAGATCCCACTCCCACCCCTGGGTCGCAGCTCAGCATGCTGCTGTATGATAACCTGGATCTTGTCCATCGCCCTTGACATTTCAACCCTTCCCCTGTGATTTCTGCTCTTATTATAGACCCCTCAAAAAATCACTTTCTTGCAATAACTTAGGTAGAAAAGGTCTTCTAGACGTCATTTGGTTCAAACCACTATTTAAATCTGGGCTAATTTTTTTTTTTTTTAATTTTTTGGTAGATGGAACTAAAATGCTGTTTTGGCAAAATACTCCTTGCTTAATGCAAAGGTCATAATGAATACACCTCCCAAGAAGAACATATGTCCCCTCTTGTAATAGGATAATGAAAAGGAAAACCAATCTAAATATAAAAAAGTAGATGTCTTCAAATGTTTTCTTTTTATTTACTGTTGTCAATGATGTCAAATCTACTTTTAAGAATAAAGAAGTTCTAAGAATATAATTTCGTCTAAAATACTCATTTAAGCATCCTTCAGAGCCTGTTCTTAGCATGCTAGGTAACATAATCACAAATTTGAGACTGAATTTCACATACAAATACCAACATGCAAAACACTCGAGCAGAGCATGTTTGAAAGTGTCAACTCGTGGTATTTGAGATACATCCCCATGCGCAGATTTACCATTATACCAGCGCACTCTTACTTTTAATTAAAATGTCTCCTATCTGGCTCTTCTGCAATTTTATGGAGTGTGTCAGATGTTGAGGCTTTTGATCATCTTATGAAGAGTGAGCAGGTTGCAAAGACCTTCCTCCAGAACTCACTTATCATCGACCAGGACATGATAAATTCATAAAGCCTTATGGGAACGAACTTAACTGTAACCATTGCTCATGCTCCATCAATTTTAAAGACATCTTCAAAGACTTAATTTCATGGGGCGGGGTTGGCTGCTACTAAATCTCTCAGCAGTTACATCTCTTAAGTTTAAATTCACTTCAAGTTTTGGGTCATTATATTCATAAGGTTTGTAAGCAAATATCCAACTGCTATTTTCAGCCTTCGAACAGAGCAAAAGTCTGATGCAGAGCTGAAAATTACAGTTACATTTGCAAAGCAAATAATATGCAGAATAGGGGATGATAATTGACTTGGGTTGTGCTTAAAATCTATGCTAAGTTTAAAAAAAAAAAAATACTTGTGATCTTCTTTGTAAGACTATGGAAAAATTTGTGGTCTCATATGCTGGGAACAGCTCACAGGGTTTTTTTAAATGTCTTTTTATTTTTATTGGGGCAGAACTGGAAGCTTATAGCAAAGCACAGTCACATCACACTGTGCAACCAAAGATCAAGAAAGCACTTTTTTTTTTAAGAAGAGAGAAAATTCCTCTGGTATTATGAACTAGAGTATACAAATACAATGTTAATTGTACTTAACTGCCGAGTATAAATAGAGGTCACTTCCACAGAGCTGATATAGCATGCCAAGACAATACATTGTTAAAGCATTTGTTGGATTCTTGCTGTTCTTTAAAAAAAAAATTGAGGCTTATCCTTTTAAGAGAACTGTTCACCAGAACTGAAGAAAGAAAGAAAAAAAAGAAAAAAAAAAAGAAAAAGAACATGAGATTTGACGTAGGATGAAAAAACAGCGGGAAGGTACACAGAGTACCCGAGCTCATTTGAAAAATTAATGGCAGCTATTTGTGTTCTGCTGGAAAATACGAAAGAAAAAAATTTAAAAGCAATTCTCTAAAATATCAACAAAGTCCCAGCAAGAGATCTCTTAGCTAGCAGCAGAAATTCTACAACTCCTGGAATGCCACTTCTACTCTTTGTTTTTCCAACTGAGTTAATTAACCCAGACAAAAAACGGAGTTAACACAGCCTTGCTCACTTTCAGTTAGCTTGAGTCACTTTGTGATGACCTGATACCATGTAAATTGTCTAAAGCCAAAGAGAAAGCCAGGCTTAGGTGAGCCCACCCAGAAGGTTTCATCCATAGGTTTCCAACCATACCAGTTGTGTGTCCCATGAGCTTTGGGTAGCAGAAGAAATGCTGAAATAAACTGTGGAGAACCACGATGGAGAGAAGCATCTCCTTGCAATGGCCCGAAGGGAAAAAGAAACCTTAACTGGTCAAGAGTTGGGTTAAAGAGAGATTTCAGGTAGGGCCAGAAGAATGTGGGGAACTAGACAGTGATCAAGAAGAGCGTGGGTCCATCACCTCTGTAGCACCCATCAGGCAACTGGAGATTAAATTCCCCCTCAGCTTTCTCTTCCTGAGACTATGCAAAGCCAGCTCGCTCAGTCTCCACTTCCCGTCAAATGCTACATCCCCTAACCTACCCTAGCTAAAACATTCTCCTTTCTTGCCTTAACTGCTATCTTAAGAGGAAAAGTTCAATTTCAGCTTCATTTTAAAGCTGACATCATGATTAAGGAGAGCTCAACAAGCTTGAAGCCAGCTCAGGTGTATTCACGCTTTAATGTGCAGCTCAGATATGCCAATTTTTTCATACCAATGAATTTAAGTATGCTAAAAATATATAATCTTTTTTTTTTCCCCTCTCCATTTTAGGAAACACAGTGATCAAAAAAATTAATCTTCTTTTTCATGTACCCTCTACCACAGTCTATTTACCTGCCCCTTGTGCAGGTAAGAGGACGTACAGCATCTTCAACGTGATCCCCACTTACCCTCGGACGGTGCCAGTCTCCTGATAATTCACTTGAATAAATTTGCCAAAGCGACTCGAGTTGTTATTATGCGCTGTTTTTGCATTTCCAAAAGCCTGTGGGAAGAAAGATAGATGCCATTATTACATTTGAAACGCCACCATCATACTTTATTTCTATGTACGTCACTAACTTTGGGGATTTTGATACCATTATATAATTAATAAAAAAGCATATAGGGAAAGTTAGTCGAATGGTCTACAAAATAATACGACGAGCTCCTGGGGACCATATTCCTTTGCAATTTGGTATTCATGAAGGGCAGATAAACACTGTTTAAAAATAAATTGTTAGCTGCGCAAGAGAGATTTAATATTTGAAGTTATTACAGTCTATATATATTAAGGCTGTGCTTTATTCATTTAAATAAATATAAAAGTACACTGCTCCAACAAGACTCTCAATTTTAATGAGCTAGAGGAAGCTGCTTTTTAATTATATATGGAATTAGGCGAAAAAAATGCTTTGAAGGCTACTCTGATGTTAGACGATGTCACGTATAACACCAGCATCACCCAGAGTATTTTCAGCATTTCAGACACTGTCGTTTCGATTTGCTGCTGTTGTTTTGCCAAAATCAAAATACTTTTAAGTCTTTATTATGCAAAGCTGTTATTAAAACCCTGCCTTAGCGAGCCATCTAATACAGAGAGTCATTTATTGTCATTTAAAAGGAATCTCTGAACAGAAGAGCTATAGGAATGCTTGCAAGAACTGCAGCTCAGCTTCAGTGAAAAGTGATATTTTCAATTGTGCCTAAATCACTTCAATAATAATCTGGCCCATGGTGACAGAATCTGTCAAGCTGCCAGGTCCAATTAATGCTTCATTTATTAAACCAGTTTTGATAATCATTCACCTTTTCTTCCAAGCCAAACTTCTTTAAGGTAATTATACGCAAGATAATTTCTAAATGTTGTTTGTGTACGGACATTGAATTAACAATTACAAATACATTTTGTGATGAGGCTTAATACCAGAGCTCAGCTCCGACCTCCCAATAGATTTATTCCCTACTCAGCTATTTATTAGAAAAGATTGAAAGAGCTTTACATCTATAAGCTGAAGCTTTTCAAATGACCTTTTCAGATTTAACTTTGCATCTAAAAACAAAATATAAAGGGCAAATTAAATGAAATCTTGGCGAAAAAGCACTTGACATCTTTGATACCCGAGTGATGCGCGCTCTCACGTCTACTTTTATCTTCCCAGGCAGATTTATTTAGCAATCTGTTTAGATTTAATGATTTAAGAACAGAAGGAAGTCTGCCAACAGAATAACAACGTGATTTCCCCCCCTATTTGAATACAGGGATTTGCTTAAATTCAAGTTGTTGCATATAAATTCACTTTAGTTGATTAAAACAAATTCTAGAATAGCCAAAACCTGCTGAGCAAGCAGATTATACCTGAGAGATTATTTCAGACACACCGCTAAGGAACGCTCCCCTAACAAGGTTTCACATCTTTTCAGGTTGCTCACACTTGTCTTCTGCTTACGCCCCCCAAAAATCCTCCCCACACCCAGCATCCCTCCTTCACCCCACCCTCAGGAGGGTGTCAGAGGTGCCCACACCTCCAGGTAACCATTGAAGCCCCCAAAACTCTGCTGGCAGTGAAAATCCAGGCATCCTCTCCCCCAAAATAGGCATTTTGGCATTAAAAGATGATACTGAATGATGTTATTGAAAATTTCCAAAGGACTTATTCATCCTCTTCCAGCAGAAACACAAGAAGCTAATAGGCAGAATACATTGATATTTATTGCAAGCTAGTGCATCACCATATATTTATATATTTTATTATATTATTTTAGTAATATTTTATATATTACTAATTAAGTTATGAATACTTCCCTGCTATAGGATCAACCCACAATCTAAGACATCACGTAAAGGCAGCAAGATCAATTTTCTATACACCTAATTAATGCTGATCACTTGAGAAGAAATGAGCCAGCGGCAATACAAACTCAGACTAAATGAACAGCAGCTCTATTTTAATAACTTTTTATATAATTTCATAAAGAATTTAAACAAAAAAAAAATTAAAAGGATTTTCTGATTTGCTTTCCTGATTCTGACTACTTAATACCTTTATAAGCTATTACTTAATAATAGCTCATGGAGAGAAAAAAAGGTGTATTTATCAGGATTTTTTTTGGGAAGAGCCTTATCTAGGAATAAATCCTTTTTATTAAATGAATAATAATGAATAATATAAATAAATAGAAATATTTAGAGTTAGGAGAAAACATTTCAAATATAGGAGTGGGGAAATGCGAGAGTCTGCTTTTTTTATGAGCTTTATTTCTGGATTAATATGCCAGACCACATTATATATTATAACCCCAATACCTACAGAAATCATAACCTAAAGCATTCCTCTTTCATGCATTTTTCTTTATTGCTGATGTAAATGAGGAAGCTTTTTGGATCACATCTTGTTAAAACTTCAGGTTGACTCTACGGCAAAGGCACGTTGGTGAAGGGCCAACAAGTAGCTAAAGAAACTTCTGATGTTTAACTTGAGACAACTTAACTACATTTTTATTTGGTTTACTCACTGTGTTTCTTTAAGAGAACTATTGAGCCATTAAAAAAAGTGCTATTAATTCAATTTATACATGTTTAATGTATATATACTTGAACAGGACACCGCGTCCTTCTGCAGATGGGGCACAATATAATAATTCAGCTTCAGAAATGAGTTATAACTACTTCCCTAAAACAAATTATCATCTGTTCATATTATTTCCCTTTACTAACTCATTGATTCAAAGCTGTTGAGCAGCTCAACGGACAAAACTCTGTGAGAACATTCCTAAAATTCTTGGGGAGACCAAAGCTTTTACTGGCCAGGGCTCAACATTTCGAAGGAAACAAAATTCAATACGTTCCTCTGTAGGAGCTGAGCATCCCTCTGGGCCCAGCCTTGGTGATTCAACAGAGGAACGAGTGGCTCCATTCCTCCTGCCTCCTACCACCTTCCTGCACAAAGAGATGTTTATCATGGATGGAAGGTAAAAAAAAAATAAATAAAATTAACAGTTTCAAGGCTAAATATTTCACGTTACTCCTTGCTTGATCCCAAAAACTCATGTTTTGGGTTTTTTTTTCATTTTGGGCTCAATATTAATGGAATCTGGATTAATTACAGCTGGAATATGGATTATTTTATATGTATTTTCTGAAATAAGGCTATTTTCCAAACCCCTGCATCTAGGAAAAAACACCACAGTGACTTGGTCTCATAGGGTAATGACAATAAGATGATATAATATAGATAACCCTAACTGAATGTCATTCCCTTATACAATATCAGCTATATTGCCCTATAGAATATCAGCTATATTCCCCAACAGAATAACAGTTCTTCAGTGAAAGCACTAGTGGAAATATGTGACTTCATGTTGTATTTAAAGTCCCCAGCCCAGCCCTTCTCAAGTGAGTCTCTACCACTCTTAGGGGGAAAAATAAATATATCATTTTATCTTTGCTAGATAAAAAGAGAAATGTATTAATAGAAAAGAGTTTTTAAATGGTTTCCCATCTACTTGAAATGTAAATTTAATTTTTTAGCAAGTCGTACTATGAATATGTGAGAGAAAAAGCAAACCAACTGCTCAACTCTCAAAACAGGCTAAGTCATCATGAAATATTTATATTAATCATTAAATTCCATCGTGGGGCACTGAAGGGACTGGGAGGAAGATTCAGTCACGATAGGGACAAGAAACATGTTAATAGCAGACAAGAGCCTGCTGGAAGACTCGTATTCCCTGGTTTACTGGGAATTTTGGAATTCATGAATCAAATGTATTCATAAAGTATGAATGACCTGTAACTGTAGCAGCAAGGTGGAAATTCAAAGCGTCAGCCAGCAATATAGCCGCCAGGGAAAGAAAGCGCTCGTCTGAACTTATGCAACTAAAGAGAATATTTGTGAATTAAAATCTTTGCATATCTAGGTGCTGGAAAAAGGACAAGAGGGGTGCAGGATCTATACGATTGTGTTGGGGTTGTGTGGTGGGGCTGTTTTTTGTAGTGGGAGAAGGAGCTACATTGATGGCCCCTCTGAGAAGCTTCATGAAGCTTCCCTGGCTCCAAGGTGGATCCACCTCCAGCCCAGGCTGAGCCACTCAGCAATAGAGAAATACATCTTTGAATCCATATTTATGAGGGAAGAAATGGTTTTGAAAAGAAGAAGGTGGAGAGAACCTGGAGCAGAGGCCATTGACCTGAACAAAAGACAGCCATTGGCCTAAACAAAGAGGAGAGCATCGTTGCCGTGAGGGAGGAGGAGGGGGAAGACAGAGAACCTCAGACACTCAGTTCAACCGCATGGAGTAGCAGAAGGCAAAGGAGGTCCCTGCAGCCCGTGGAGGTTCAACGGTGGAGCAGATACCCATATATTAGCCAAGGAGGACTCCATGCTGGAGCAGAAAGCTGAGCCCAAGGGCAGTTGCGACTCATGATGAGCAAGGAGACCCCAGAGATGCTCAACACCAGAGCAGGGGGAGGTGGTGTGCTGGACTGGAGACCCATCTGCAGCCTGTGGGTGTCCCCATGCTGGAGCCAGGAGCTGTGCCCAAAGAGGTCCATGACTCCCTGAGCAGCCTATGTTGGAACACTTTGTTCCTGGACTCTTGCAGACCATGGAAGGGATCTCACGCCAGAAAGAGCAGCAGAGATGAACTGACTGAACCCCCATTCCCTGCCCCCTGTGCTGCCAGAGGAGAAGGTAGAGAAACGGGGAACAAAGTGATTGGAGCCCGAGAAGAAGGGAGGGGTGGGGGAAGGTGTTGCAAGATGTTGTTGTTATGTCTCACTGTGCTCCTCAGATGAATGGAAACAAATTAAATTGATGTTTCTTCCCCAAGTTGAGTCTCTTTTGCCCATGACCACAACTGGTGAGGGAGCCCTCCCTGTCCTCATTCTGATCCATGAGTCCTTTGTTGTATTTCTCTCCCCATCTCACTGGGTTGTGGGGACTGAGTGCAGGACCTCATGGTCTTACCTGTGGGTGAAACCACCACGACAATGCCCAAAGAGCC